TCCACACATTGTATTGTCTAATACGCAAAACACGATGTACCAAAAAACTAAGAGAAATGATGAAAGAAAAAAATAAAACAACAGAGAAAAAGAACGAGCTACATAAGGGTCTAATGAGAACCTCTTGTTCCCATAAGTCAGGGTTCATGTTGATATGGTTTATTATATATAGTCCTATGAACTAAGCAGTTAGGTTATTGAGAACCTCTGTTAAGGATATCATATACATGTTCTCCCTCTTTCAAATGAGGGAGATCATACAATCTACTTTTCTTTGGGTCTGGCTTACTTAATATAATTTTTTCAAAGTCTTTCCATTTCCTTATGAATGTTATTCTTTCTGATGGAAGCATAGAATTCCATTGTGTAAATATACCACATTTTCTTGATCCATTCATCTACGGAGGGGCATTTGGGTTGGTTCCCTATCTTGGATATGGTAAATAATGCTGTGAAGAACATCATCATACTGGTGGCTTTAAAGTGGCCTTTTTTTTTGGTCATTTGGGTAAATTCCCAGAAGTGGGATTGCTGGTCATAGGAGAGGCTCTATGTATAGTCTTTTGAGGAATCTCCACACTGTTTTCCAGAGTGGTGGAACAAGTTTGCACTCCCACAAAAAGTGTAGTTGCATGCCCCGTTAGCCACATCCTCGCTAGCATCTGTTGTTAGATTTCTTGGTTATGGACATTCTAACTGGTGTAAGGTAGAATTTCAATATTGTTTTGATTTGTATTTCTTTTATAGCCAGAGATGTTGAGCAATTCTTCATGTGTCTTTTGGCCATTCGTACTTCCTCTTCAGAGAAGTCTCTCTTTAAGTCTTTCCCCCACTTTTTAATAGGTGGTTGTTTCTTTGGGGGTTTGATTTGGGGGAATTTAATTTCTTGAGCTGTTGGTATATTTTACATATAAGACCCTTGTCTGTTGTATGGCTGGTGAAGATCTTCTCACAGTCTGTGGAGTTCCAATATATTTTGCTAGCTATGTCCTTTGCCGTGCACTAGCTCTGCAGTTTAATGCAGTCCCATTTATCCAGTCTTTCTTTAATTTGGTATGCTTCTAGGTCTTTATTAAGAAAGTTTTGACCTATTCCAAGGAGCCCTAGTGTTTCTTCTATTCCTTCTTGTAATATTTTCAAGGTATCTGCTTTTACTTTGTGATCTTTAATCCACTTGGATCAAAGATATATAGGCTCTAACTTTAGTTTTCTATAAATGTTTAGCCAGTTCTCCCAGCACTATTTATTGAAGAGGCTGTCTTTCTTCCATCCTATTTTTTTTGTCAAAAATTAGGTGGCCATGGGTCTGTGGATTCATTTCTGGGTCTTCGAATCTATTCCATTGGTCCTCAGGCCTGTTCTTGTGCCAGTCCCAAGCTGTTTTGAATACTATGGCTTTGTAACAGAGTTTGAGGTTCGGTATTGAAATTCCTCCAGCATTGTTCTTCCTGCTAAGGATTGTTTTTGCTATTTGGTTGCCTTTTGTTGTTCCACATGAATTTTTGGATTGCTTCTTCTATTTCATTAAAGAAAGAATTGGGAAGCATTGACTGGATAAGAGCAGATGGGAGATAGAGATGGAGAGTGTGGAAACAGACTCTGGGGGCTGCAGCATGTTTCGGGCAGTCTTTGCTGAGTCAACAGCCTGAATACACTTTTCCTCAAAGAATTCGGGGAGTCATTGGGCATAGGCTCAAAGATAAAAAACAGCTCCCAAAGATGTTCTGTCACTGTCACTGTCTGATATTTATAAATATATATGTATATGTATGATATATATCATACATACACACACACATATATATATATATATGTGTAAGGGTGTGTGTGTATGTGGGCAAATGTGTGTGTGTGTGTGTGTATTCATGTATCTCAGCATCTCTCCTGGACTGCAGCAGACAAAAGATGTTCTAGACATAACCTGAGTTAACAAGCAGAAAAGGTCAAAAGCTATGTGCCTATGACCATATAAGATGATGCTAAGTGAAATGAACCCCAAGATAGGGACACAAGTGTTTTTAATATACTATGTGATTTTTTTGGTTTCTTTTGTATGTTCTTCCCCCATGGTATAACCCCTGTTGTCAGTGTATTTGATTCTGATGCCCCGCATCTTGTATATACATTTTTCTAATTTGGGGAAGGGAAAGGGAATAACAAAATGCTGAAACAAAGATACAGGTTGACGCATTGTGACAATGAGATGTACAAGACCCTATATTGAAAATGAACTTTACAACTTTGGGGCAGGGGTGGAAGGAGGAGTGGGGGAGGTGGGAGGGAAGGGGTGGTAGGGGAAAACCAAAGAAGCGGGTAACAATGCTTGATAGGAAATGTACTCATTACCTTACTCATGTAACTGTAACCCCTCTGTACAGCATCTTTACAATTAAAAATATTTAAAAAACATCAAAAAAAAGAAAGAATTGGGATATTGATGGGTATTGCATTGAATTTGTATATGTGCTCTACCACTTTGAACCACAGCTTTACTCTTATTTTCTGGTGGTTAATTGGAGATAAGAGTTTCATGGGCTTTCCTGCCTGGGCTGGCTTTGAACTCAAATCCTAGATCTCAGCCTCCTGAGTATCTCTGATTACAAGTGTGAGCCACCTGGCTCAATGCATACTTTTTATAGGGAGTATATGAACAATATAGCCTGATTATATTAACCTGATAACTTATAACATGAAAATAATAACTAGTGAATATCATATGACTCTTGAGTGTCTCTGAGATTCTAGAACAGCATTGTTAATGTGCACCCTTTTAAGCCTTACTAGTCTGAGGTTATTTACTGCATCATTACTAACATATACATACTATACTATCAAGTACAGGAAAATTAGTGAACAATCTTAGTCTATAGGAAGAAAATAAATGATAAAGGACCAACTAAATGAATGTTAACATTCTTTATTTGAATGGTTGTTATTTAGTAAATAAAATGATTAATCTGGATTATTTAGAATATTTATTAGATTGCTGGTTTAGAAATAAATTCATGGAAACAAACAGGGATAGCTGTATCAAATTATCAAGTTAGAATAAAATATCAAATGACAAAAATGAGAGCTAGGACTGTGACCTTTCTAAAAGCCTCAGATGTTGTCTGAGAAAGCATGCATGTTCAGACTTAGAGAAATGCAGAAATCATATGTCTTTCTATATGGTTTTGGTATTTAAAATTCCTGCTGAGCAGTGAAAGCTCATACCTGTCATCCTGAGATTTGAGGATCACTGTTTGAAGGCAGCCTGAGCAGCAATATCGATGAGAGTCTTATCTCCAATTAACAGCTAAAATTCCTGAAGTCGAGCTGTGGCTCAAATGGTAGAGCACTGTCCTTGAGTGAACATGCTAAGGAAAAGTATCCTAGCCCTAAGTTCAAGCCCTGATACAAGTGAACAAAAAATCTCTATAGGCAATTGCTGCTTATAATGAATTTGATGGTGCTCTAAAATATAAAACAACTTATGAACAAAACACTGGTGAAACAAAAAAAAGCACAAAAGAGAAATAAGCACTGCTCTTAAGCTGTGTAAGCTGTGGAATTTTCTTCATGATTTAGATGTCAAAATATAGTCTACCTTTTGGTTAAAAAAAAGAAAGCTATGTAAGTTAACACACAGTTTTCTCCAAAGGCCGTTCACTCTATCTTAAATGAACCAACCCAAGACCTTTTATTGGTAATACCATGAGTGAAACAGAAAAACTTCATTGGATATTTAGTCAAAATAATTTCAAAGTAATTCAAACTCTTGATTTCCAAAATTCAAATAAGCTTTAACAATATCCTATTAGGCTTAGAATTAAGTCAGTAAAATGACTGCATTGAGGAAGGCCCTTAAGTTTTTTTCTCAGTTTTAAAATTGGTCAGTGTTAAAAATGTGCCAGTTGTAGAACTAAAATTCTGTGTAAATTTGAGTGCCTTCCATCCTCACACATTTTATGACTTTGAACATGTAAGAGTTAGACCAAGTTTGCCAGGGGGGCCTTCTCCCCTCCATTCTCTTCCACTGAACTCCCAATTTCACGCTATTTTTAAACTCTACAGGCTAGCTTTCCAGGGAAGAATTTCCTGTGTCTTTGGGGCTCTGCCTTTTTCTTCTTTTCTGAACTTTGGTCATAACTAATTTCATTATTTATCACAATGATATTATCATCTTACTCACATTGAAGCCTACTATAACGTTAATACAAAGAAGATACCGAGTTAGTAACATGATATCATCTGCAAGTTTAAACAGAGTAGGGAAACATGTATCTTTGGAGCCCTATTTAAAGAACCAGCATCTGGAATTCAGACATATAAAAAAATGTATGAAAGACTTGCTTTTAAAAATTGACCACAAATGATCATAAATATATAAGAAGAATTTGCATCTCACTATTGTGCCTTATGTATGGAACAAAATTTTTCAGTGACAAAATACCTGGGCCAAACTGGAGGGAGAAAAGATTTATTTTTGGTTCATACTTGTAGAGCTTTCAGTGCATCATCCTGGAGAAGGTACGGCAGAATTGCTCATCTCATTGCAGCTTGGAGCAGAAAGAGACTCCAGTGCTGCTTATTTCTTCTCTCTGTTAGGGGATAATGGATCTTCTCTCCTAGTTAATCTTCCCTCAAGGTTAATCCTCACAGGTACACCTAGAGGTGTGTCACTAATTCTTGAATGCTTCTTAATCTGATCAAGTTGGCAAGATTAAATACTAAAAGACCTGTAAAAGAAACTAAAAAAAAGAACACCTAACTAACACTTGGCTGAATTATTGAATGTCCTTGAAAGTAAATCAAGTGAATTAACTGAAGTATTCTAAAATTCACCATTTTCATTATTTTAAGAAAAGTGGCATCTTTATCATTTAATCTAGATGATTAAATTTGTGGTTTCGAATGTTGCTTACTTCCAATTTACTTACTAGGACTCAAAAAAGTACATGGTGGTATTTTCATTTAAAAGACATTATACTGACAACATTTGTTTCTCTCTCTGTCAGGGATAAATCATCATTAAAAACTATTAATGTAACCGAAACATCATTAGAGTTTTCAGATTTGGACTATAATGTTGACTACAGTGCCTATGTAACAGGTAGCACCAGATTTGGTGATGGGGGAACAAGGAGCAGTATCATTACCTTCAGAACACCAGAGGGAGGTGAGTTCTTGCTGATGGAATCCAATCTCACGAATATTATGATCAGAAATAAATAATCAATATCAAAAGGTATTTTTACCCTAATTAGATATAAATCTTTCCTGTTTCCCATCTATGTAATGTTGATAAAGCTAGGAAATCAGTCTGTGCTTCAATTTTCCTTCCATGGTGCAGAAACCATTCAAAATCTACTTCACAAGATCATTGTGAGGATTGAATTAATTTGTATTTGCAAATGTACTCTGCTCAGTGTTTACTTGACCTATAGTAAGCATTATGTGTGGGTTAAATGAAGGAAAATAAAATGTACAAAGTCAGCTCTTGATTTGCCTTTGCTTTTTAGTATTCTGTTTTGATAGTGTAAGCTACATTAGGATTTGCTGTCACATATGTTACATTGGAAACTTGTTAAATGTTTATAAACCCAGAGCAGAGGATATGTCTTAAAGCCAGAGTATTTTATCATAAGGAATCTGTGTCTTCTCTCTGATTTTTCTATTACAGAATGTAAGTGGTCGGACACAAGCGTTAGGGATTTCATTTTCATTTCTGCCATGTAAATAGATATTTCTAATATGAGTTGTTTTGAAAATCAATTATCACCACTTTATCAAAGTTGTAGGTAAAATTTAGATCCCTTGGACATAACTAGTGGCTACAAGTCTAGTTCTTCATTCTTCTGTTCGTTCTTCAGCACCCAGTGATCCTCCCAAAGATGTTCATTATGTAAATCTCAGTTCCTCATCAATAATTCTCTTTTGGACACCTCCTTCAAAACCAAATGGAATTATACAGTATTATTCTGTTTACTATAGAAATAATTCAGGAACTTTTATGCAGGTAAGACCTGAGTTTTCTCCTAATGCAATTTTTACATCCTTTAAATTTGTTGGAAATATAATCTTGACATTTTCGAAGCAATTATGTATCTCATGTTGACAATTGTGCAAAGATATTATACACTTCACACTGACAGAGAAAATTAGTAGAGAAATGTCAGACTTTTTCTCTCTCTCTCCACACATACACAAATATACACATATGTGCATATACGCTTTGCTATGCTTTTTTAAATGGTTAAATGGTTATTTATACTTATATAAGTCAGGTAATGAGTACAATTCTTTTTGAACAGTGTCACCTCTTCCCTGTTTTCTCCCAGTTTTCCCCTTCTGATCCTCCTCTCTACATCATTTGTGCTTTTTAACAGTAATGATCCTATCTTTAGTTTAATTCTACATGGGAAGAAAGTCCTCAATTCTACTTTTTCTAAAAACTGTTCTCTAAAGTGTGTTGGTTTCCATTTATTCTCATGTTTATTTCTTAGCTAAAAAGATGCTTTTGTATTTTATCAAATATACAGTTTTGGTTTGAATATATTTGTTTTTTAAAATTAATGTATTTTGTGTCATTGGTTAAAGTCGTAGGACTGTAGTTATTTTATCTGCAGTATCTAAGGTCCTCAGCTTGCACAGTTTGCACATGAGCACTTTCTGGATGTGAATATAATGGTTATAGAAATAACAAAAATGCATTTAATTAAGAGAATTTTTTGCATTTTTATTGTGACTATTAAGGAGTTGTACATAGGGGTTATAATTTCCTAAGTCAGGTTATGAGTATAATACTTCTTGATTAATGTCTCCCTTTCCTTTATTCTCCCTTATTTTCTTTTTTAAATGTTTTTTGTTCATTGTAAAGATACTGTACAGAGGGGTTACAGTTAGATGAGTAAGGTAATGGGTCCATTTCCTATTGAGCATTGTTACCCCCTCTTTTGTTTTTCCCCTACCACCCATTCCCTCCCCATCTCCCCAACTCCTCCCTCCCCCATGCAGAAGCTGTAAAGTTTGGTTTCAACATAGTATCTTGTACATATTATTGCTACAATGGGTCAATTGTATCCTTGTTTCAGCATTTTGTTATTTCCCTTCCTCTTCCCAAATTAGAAAAATGTGTATACAAGATGCAGGGCACTAGAATCATATACAGTGTAAACAGAGGTTATACCATGGGGCCTTCTCCCTTATTTTCACTTGCTTATCTTATCCACAGTTACATAATTCATATTTTAACCTAGTGTACATTGAGTACAATGACTGAATTTTAATTTTTCAAAGAATTATAGCATTTTTGCAAATTAAATATTCACAATATTCTTCTATACAGAAAGAGCAAAGTTTGAGTCGCTGCGATTGAATCAAACATAGGAAGAATTAGAATATAATCTGTTAAATGCTACCTTAGGAGACACTTATAGAGTGTGTACTTCACAAATAGGAATTAGCAAATGTATGTTGACGATGACTTTGAAATTCTCACATATCCCCCTCTCCCACCTTCTTTTCCTTGTGCCATTACTGGGGCTTAAACTAAGGGCAAGGGTGCTTTTCTGCATTGAAAAAAAAAAGGCAGTGAGAAATGGGTCTTATAATTCTAGATCCTAGGAATGCTTTTACTTCTGTGCAATCTATTTAAAGCCTTTGTGCCATATATTTAAAGCTTATCACAATTATTTTGACTTTGTCCACATTTAATACTCAAGTATGAATGTCTGACTATGGTTTCAGCATGATCTTCCAAAACTACTATTCAAACTTAGGTACATAATGTGATCCAATTTGAAATTTATCTGTTTTAGAACAAGTCTTAACTTTGATTAAGTTATCTTAAGAATGCTTTTAAGTGGGACAGCTGCAAGAAGGCACAGGCTAAGGATGTTAAAATATTTCAGAGTTCTAGCCTCATATTCCTTGATATTCAGTCATGGTTTACTATATTCCTAAAGTTAATGTTAAAAACAATATGTTCAATGGGTCCACCTGTATCCCTATTTAAACAATTTGTTTTTTCCCTTCCCCTTCCCAAATTATGACAACATCAAATACAGTGAAAACAGGGGTTATACCGTGGGGGAGGGACATACAAAGCAACAAAGAAATCATCTTATAAGTAAGTTAGAAACAATAGCAAGAAAGAAAAACTATTGCAACAATGAGATGTACAAGATGTTACGTTGAAAAACGAACTTTACAACTTTGGCAGGGGCAGGGTGGGGGGGTGGGAAGATGGGCGTGCAGGGATAGTAAGGGGAAACAAGGAAGGAGGCAACAATGCTTGATAAGAAATGTACCCATTACCTTGCTCATGTAATTGTAACCCCTCTGTACGGTATTTTCACAATAAAAGAACATTAATTAAAAAAAGAATATACAATCAAACAAAAACCCCAATATGTTCACTACCTTGCTTTTCTATGTTAGATTGTTGGAATAGAAGAAATTCTCAGAAATGAGAGCTTTTTTTCCTGTTTCCATAGAAATTTATAGCATACTTCATACCTTCTGTTTCATATATATTTATTATTGTTTTAACTCCTTTTGCCAGATCTGGCATTTTAAGAAAATTGACATATGACACTTATCTTTTCTTTCCCTGATGTACTCTGGCCTAGTGTCATACATAGGCTTAATGCCCAATAGATTTACAATATAATAGGCTTACATTTTCATTACTTAGCTATAATTTTATAACATTTCAGGATGAAGTAATCTTTCCTTGGGGAATTTAATCATTCTAGTACTTAGCCATCCATCTTCTTCCTTGTTTCACATTAGGTTTGCTATAAGGTACTAACTTTTCTATATTTTAATTTCTACTAACTTCTTATTTCTTCAGTGTGCCTGACATAGTGTTGAATATTAAGAAAATATTAAATGAGGGCTGGGAAGGTGGCTCAGTGGTAGAGTGCTTGCCTTCATGCCTGAGGCCCTGGGGTCAATTCCTCAGCACCACATAAGAAAAAAGAAAAAAGCCAGAAGTGGCGCTATGGCTCAAGTGGTAGAGCACTAGCCTTGAGCTGAAGGGCTGAGGGACAGTGCTCAGGCCCAGAGTTCAGGCCCCATAACTGGACCAAAAAAAAAAAAAAGAAAGAAAATATTAAATGAACTTTAATAGATTAGAACAATATATAAGATTTTACTAAATACTTTATGACTGGATTTCTAGTCTTAAAGACAATAAGCCTCATTTAGATATTCTGAGCCAAAAATTATGGCTGAGCAAACAAAATGAATTAAGTAGATGAATGAGATAATCTTCTTCTTAACTGAACCAATTTATAAATTTGTTATGTGTGTTTGTATGTTAAGTAACACATCCAGAAGGAAAGATTTCTGGGTGATTAAAATATCATTCATTACTCCCTAGTCAAGGACATAGTAATTAGAATAAGTCCTAGGTGAAGAATAATTACAATTTATTCAAAAATCCTTAAGTAATTCATACTGTAAGTAGTGCTTTATATACACCAGTTACTCCATGCCTAAAGTAGATGTACTGAAGGCAATGGAATTCATACAGCCTATTTCGTGTGAGATTTTAAAGTGTCTATTTCCATAAAAACCCACCACAAAATCAAGGTGGTTCTTTATCGTATTCATTCTTTTTCCCCTCAAATATTTAACGTGACAAATTTCAGAACTATCTTAACTATAAACTTAAGTCAGATCAACTGATGTTTATGATTGACAAGTGAAAAGAACACATAAACTGTTTTTACTGAGTGCAAGGCATAGCACTGGTTGCTCTATGTGTGTCTTTGTGATCTGATTTTAAAGCTCTCTGAGAAGTGAAAACCATTATTCTCTTTTTATAGCTGAGGGAAGAGAACCTTTGAGATTAGATCATTTATGCTGGGCTACTCTGTCAGGACTTGAATCTAGACCTATAAAACCAAAAGGCTTTACATAGATTGGTATGACTCAGATTGTTCATCAGAAATAGTCATTACTGTACAATTACTCATACAGATTACACATTTATATATAACAAGGTCTCCTTGTGTAATGCCATATACCACCAAACCTGCCTATGTACATGCTTTCAAAAGCTATTTTTTTTATTTTGGAATTAATCTTGTTTGGTAATGTGTTTTGTCTTTAAAATTTGGTCAGAAATGAATACTTCAAATATTAAGATACATTTAGTAGTAAATATAATTGGAGTCTAGCAGGAGAACCTAGACATTTTTCTTGCTTGGTATAGTGCAGTACCTTTAACTTCTGTCTCTTCGCTCCCTGCAAATTGTAGCCAAAAGGAGAAATTACTAAGGACAACTACCAGTGAATTCTTTGAGTTAATAGAAAGAAATAGATGCTCCCATACTTTCCCCATCATTGATGGGAGGAAAACATTTCGAGTTTTGTAATATTCCCAGAATTTCAAGAAGAAAACCAATGCTTTGAAAAATACTAGTGTTTCATAATGAAAATTGATAGCCCTCAGCACAGTGGGAAGAGCTCTCCCTTGGCCATCTGACCTTTGTCATCAGCTCAATATTTCAATTTTGGATCCTTGCTAGTTTATATTGTGATTTGGCAATAAAACTGCTACCATCTATTTTTCTTTTCCTATAAGCATATTTTCACTGTAATTGCTGCTTTAAAAATGGTCAGTGTACATTAATGGCTCATGCCTGTAATTCTAACTGCTCAGGAGGCTGAGATTTGAGGATTGTGGTTGAAACCCACCAGGGAGACTCTTATCTTCAATGAACCACTAAAAAGTCAGAAGCAAAAGCGTGGCTAATCTTCTTAACAATTAGTACATTAAACTAATAGAAGACAATTTCTGAATAATAGCTATTTTGAAACATTAATGCATCTAAAATGCATTCTGAAGTGTTAAAAATACATTTATTTTTCAGAATTTTACACTCCATGAAGTAACCAATGAATTTGGCAATATGACCTCATCTGCAATAATAGATAAACTGGCAATATTCAGCCACTATACTTTTTGGTTAACAGCAAGTACTTCGGTTGGAAATGGAAATAAAAGCAGTGATATAATTCAAGTATACACAGATCAAGACAGTATGTAAATGTAAACATTTATCAATCTCTACTTGGATTAATTGAAATTTTAAATAATGATTTCAAGAACTTTCTATGCAAAATCTATAAACCTGCTCATTTACTACAGGACTTTACAATGTATTTGATCTAGCTTGAAAACTATTATAATATTATATTATTATATATTATAATATTAGCAATTATATTATTAACTATTATCATATTATATAAAATATTATAATAACAGTCTTTTCTCCATGAAAGCTGCTACTTTTTATGCACAAAATTCTCTTGTTTTTATTGTTTTGAAGGATGTCACAACCATATATGCAGATAAGGGCATGAAAAATACTTATGTTAATGTGGATGGATTTTCTAAATATTAATATATTTGTCTATTTGCTTTAGGAACTCCTCTTTTAAAGTTACTGCAGCTAGTTTGTTTCCTTTTCAGACTTTGAGTTTACATAGCATTTCATTCAGCATTTTTTGGCTTATTGCATTTGTGACTAACATTCTCAAACTATCTTGTCTTAATTTAAGACATTTCTTGCATGCAGTTTGTGCAGAATCCTGTTTGTGCTGGTGTTAGAAAAGTGGAAGGATTGGAGCTCTTGGAGTTTTCTAAGTTTCAGTTTCTAAGTTACAGTGGCAAGTGGATCCTTGCCCATTTTCCTTGCAGTTGTTCCTGTTGTCCTTTTGGTTTTAAAAAGTTTAGTACCTGAGCTGGGAAGGTGGCTCAGTGATAGAGTGCTTACCTTGCATGCATGAGGCACCTGGGTTCAATTCCTCAGCACCACATAAGCAGAAAAAGCTAGAAGTGGCACGCTAGCCTTGAGCTGAAGAGCTGAGGGACAGCAGGCCCAGAGTTCAGGCTCCACAACAGGCCAAAAAATAAAAAGATTAGTGTTGTATTGAGAAATGGTATTGGCCTAAACACCTACAGAGAATAGAATTATAGTTTTATTATTTGAAAAATCATAAACTGACCTATGACATTTAGAGGAAATCAATGCTTTCTTTATTGTTGGAAAAGTCATTTACAAAAGCATACACAGAATATAAGAAATATGAGAAATATGAATTTTTGGAGTTTTTAACAAAAATATTGTAGGATAGCACATGGCCAATAACATTTCATTTTCTTTTTCCTTTTTTTAACATTAGAATACATTAATCTTTCAAGGGCCTTCAGTCATTCTTTAAAAGCAGATATCTCCAAAAAGATATTTTATTAATTGTAATAATTCTGCTTCATGTGGTATTTCAAATTTACATTAATCGAATACAATTTCAAAGGACAGCTAATATCTGAGAATAAGAACTTTTTTAAGTAGAACAACTTCTTTCGTTTTTGTTTTTGTACAGCTCATGGCCTTGACCATTTACTTGCTAAACAAGTTCTCTACCATTTGAGCCATACCAAGAGCCTTTTAAATTTGTTTACATTTGATCTCCCACCAATTTTGTCTGAGCTAGTCTGGAACCACGATTTTCCCACCTTCACTGTCCTCAAACTATGATCTTCTGATCTCTGCCTCCTGAGTTCTGGGAAGTAATTTCTTGAAATGCCAATGTGGGTTGGTACTCTGATAGAGAGATTCTGTTATTGATAACCAGAAATTGTTAATAGTATTAAATGTTCTTACTACCAGTATAACCTTGAGCAAGTTGACATTTTCTCTGAGTACTTGTCTTCATAGAACTAATAAGATAATCTTTACAAGAAAGTAAAACTGTTTTTTAATTCCAAAAGTTCTTAATTATATGAACAGTCATGCACCCATAGACCCAGGTACACCATCTCCATGTTAAAGAAAAAGAAAAATCCAGAAAAAAATATTCATGAAGCAATTCTCATACACATGAAAGAATACCATCTTTTGACATTTTACATTATTAGAGGGTATTTAACATATGTGTTCACCACATCTGCATTTAAATAATGTAAGAGCTGATAATGTAACAGATGCCATTTTGATGAGTATCCTGTTTGTGAATGTGAATTGTAGTTCAAATAACTGATTATTTTTCATGCTTTGTTCATCACCTATCATAGTACCTGAAGGATTTGTGAGAAACCTGACTTATGAGTCAATTTCATCAACTGCAATAAATGTAAGCTGGTCCCCACCACCTCTGCCAAACGGGCTAGTCTTCTACTATGTTTCACTGCATTTGCAGCAGACGCCTGGCCGTGTGGGAACGCTAGTTACATATGAAAACAGCATGTATTTTGGTAATCTGGAAAAATACAGTGATTATATATTTAAAATCACTCCATCAACAGAAAAAGGATTCTCTGATAACTACACTGCCCAGCTACACATCAAAACTGAAGAAGATGGTAGGCTGGACTACCTTATTGCTTATTAAACAGATAATTATTGCTGTCTTCATTTGTATTGCTTTCTTCTGGAACTATTATTCTTACCTAGATTTTGTTGGTTCTCAAGTAATTAGCCTTTCAACATATATAGCATAAATTCTACCTTTCTTCAGTTTGACATAGTACCTTATTGAAATTAGCTCCAGTTAGGACTTCTTTTTTTTTTTCTTTTGTTTCATTTAATATTGTCTTCTTCCTTTACAGTCCCAGAAACTTCACCAGTCATCAATACTTTTAAAAATCTGTCCTCTTCCTCAATTCTCTTATCCTGGGATCCCCCACTCAAGCCAAATGGTATAATAATAAGTTACAATTTGACTTTACAAGGACCACATGGAAACTATTCCTTTATTACTGCTGATGACTATATAATACTGGAAGAGCTTTCACCATTTACATTATATAGCTTTTCTGCTGCTGCAAGAACTGTGAAAGGACTTGGTCCCTCCAGCTCTCTTTTCTTTTACACAGATGAGTCAGGTAAGCTGGACCCACGCTGCTTCTCATGCTTGAAGTGTTCCAGGGCCTGCCCTCTCTCTTTCTAAGCAACAGCATGGAAAAATAAGGACTATGATTGCCCATTCATAGCTTACTTGCCATTATTCATCTGCTTCTTGAATTTTTTTTATTATTTGAAGCTTCACAATCATTTTTCCTATAAAAAGCTACTTTGGAGTTACTGTGTTACATGTGCCAAAACATAACAGCTGCTGATATTTGCTTTTGAAACAAAAAGTATAATTATTTTACATAACCTCTTAGTCACAATGCCATTTCTATGCTCAAAGTTTTATGAAGACAAATTTTCTAATATGTTTCCCAACAGTGCCCTTAGCACCTCCTCAAAATTTGACCTTGATCAACTATACTTCAGATTTGGTGTGGCTAAAATGGAGCCCAAGCCCTCTTCCAGGCGGTATTGTTAAAGTATATAGTTTTAAAATTCATGACCACGAAACTGATACTATATTTTATAAGGTAGGTTCACTGTAGCAGCATATGTTTACTACTAAGTCTTTTGTTTGTTTGGGTTTTGTTTTATTTGTGTGGGTTTTTGGTTGCCTCTTAGGTTTGAATACAGCCTTGCATTTGCTAAGCATGGGCTCTTCCACTTGAACCATATCCACAGTCGATTTTGTTTTTGATATTTGGGGGATAGGTCTTCTGTTTTTATCTTAGGGACAGCCTGGACTGTGATTCTCTGACCTAGTCCTTCAATACCTGGGCTTATAGGTGTGAACCTCTGTGCCTAGATAATTGATCTTTTAAGATGAATCTGTATTCTTTTACTTTCAATGGTAACGCATTTGTAACTTGAAATATTCCTTTCATCTTCCATTTTCAGGTCCCAGAATCAGTGATAAAACAGCCAATAACTGATCTTAACAAAGTGTCTGTACTATATATGTGTCGTTACTATCATTTGTTGGAAAAATAAGTTATAATTAACTAATATTTCTTAAAGGCAGTCTTCTTATTTTTTTCCCAAAGGCAAATGGAGATCTGAAATATTCTTATTGCATTACAGCAAGAAAGAGATAGAATATTCAGTGGACAATTTGTCCAATAAGGACATAATAGTTTATTAATAAGTAAATTATTTTATGCTATGTATAGCTAAAAAGCAAATAGTAAAATCCAAAAGCAGCATTTAAGTTTATATTACTTGGCACAATGGCTTTCTTACTCAAAGCCACTTGGTCATTTTAAAATCTGATAAGCTGAATAGAATTTGCATTGTAATCACAATATGGAAGCTGCTTCCCATAAGATACGTTAATGACACAATGCATCCAGAGCTCTGTTATCTGTCTCCACATTTCTCCATTTTTATTTGCTTTGTCTGTATGGAATATGTATTATTGCTGTGGTTATGCATAGAATAACAAAAACTAAAAACTTATAAAGTGTCAAAGTAGCTCTAAGAATAAAATGACAGGACATTATACTTGGATAGATTCTAATATTTGTAAATATTCTGTTTTATTTTCAATAGACATGCTACCATTGAACTAGTTGGGGTGGAACATACCTATAATCCCAGCATTTAGAAAGCTGAGGCTGAAGGCTATAAATTCCAGGCTAGCCTGGGCCAGGCAGTGAGACTCTGTATCAAAAAAAAAGTTGCTATTAATATTTTACTGGTCCCAAAATACTGTCTTTCTGCAAGAATATACTGGGCCAGGAGCAACCTATTTTAAGCTTTCCATAGTTGCTAGGATGACAGGTATAGGTACTGTTGTGTTCAGCTGCACTCCTGGATTCCATGATTTCTCTGATCTTACCCTTCCTAACCGAAATGAAAATGTACTTGTTTAATGTTTGCTTTCTTCTCAATAAGCAATTGTTTATAGATTGTTAAAATATACTTTCCTTGCTGGGCAATGGTGGCTCATGCATGTAATCCTAGCTTCTAAGGAAGAGGTTCTGAGTATCTAAGTATCCAAGGATCTGAGGATTGCACTAGCCTTGAGCACAAAGAGGCTCGGGACAGCGCGAAGGCCTTGAGTTCAAGCACAACAACCAAAAAATATGCATTATATATATATATGTAAATATATATACTTTCCTTGATGGCAGATATCGTATCTTATAGATATTTACAATCTACAGGTCCTTTATTATATGCTTTCTAAATAGTGTGAAAGAATGGGAGAAAATAGGTAATATAATAGGTCCCCTAAATTGATCTTGGCTTTCTAGAGATTATTTTTAAGTATCTCTAATTGTAAGTGCAAGAGTTAAAAATCATTGTAGAATTTGTAACATTTAATTAACAATCAATATGGTTTCTATTTTGTCATATATAAGATTCTTAACCTTATACCGTATGGGCAAACATACTCTCTTCCCATAAGAACAATTTTTGAACATTAACTATTCTCTTTTATATTCTTCTTTGGTCAAATGTAATAACTTTTTTCCTTTCCTCTTTTTACAAAAAAAGCTGTATGAAAATAAGACTCATTTGGGATTCTACAGAGAAGAGCTCCTTCTTTAGTCATTATTTTGTTTCCAATACCTCAGCTGCAGTAGTTGACAAATATATTTACTAATTTAATCATGCTAAGTAGATATTAAAAAGGAATTTAGGTGAATTTAGAGAAACTCAAACTTCAGTAACCAACAAAAAATTGGATTTTAAATTTGGAGCTTTAATTTTAGCAAATGCAAGGGAAAGGAATGAATGTATAATTTCATGTAAAAGCCAAATAAATAAGCTAAAACTAAAAACTACACTAGTTTTTTTTTAAAATGTCAAGTAAGTGATTACTCTAGGCAAAGAAGAAGCCCAGTTCATCCTAAGTACACCCTGTGAGGTATTTATTTTAAGCACTTACAATATCTATTGAACTATACAATACGTATAGAAGGAATAACTTCTTTGTATTAAAATAGTTTTCTATATTTTAGTATCCATTAATAAGGTTTTAATTGATTAGGTTTTTAATTAATTAGTGAGGGTCATTCTGACACATGTCCATACATGTCCACACACGCATACATTACATCTGATCACAGGCATCCACTGTCACCCTCTGTCACCCTCCTTCTCCTTTTCCCAAACAGTCTCCACCAGCTTCATTGTTTCATTCTCACATTTGTACATAAAGTATTTTGTTTATTTTCATGTTCCATTGCCCTCTCAATTTATCTTTCCCACTGGTGTCCACCTCCACTGTTTTATATTCTGATCATGTGTTAATATATACTAATTGTTCAAAGAAGACTCATGTGGTATTTCATACTCATATACAAATTTGATCAGACTGACTTGCTCACTTACTCTCACCTTCATCTTATTTCCTATTATTCAGTAACCTAAGTTCAACATCAATCTACAGTCCCACATTTAATAACACGTTATGTATATGTGTTTATGCATAATCCCATGTATGTTTACCTTTCTTCTAGTTACAAACAAATGTGTGTTGATTACTAAGAATGGATTTTTATATTTTTTCAGAATATTTCAGGTTTTCAAACTCAAACCAAACTTGTTGGACTTGAACCAGTCAGCACCTACTCTGTCAGCGTGTCTGCATTTACTAAAGTTGGAAATGGGAATCAATTTAGTAATGTAGTAAAATTTACAACCCAAGAATCAGGTTAGAAATGGTCAATACTGAATGTGTAATACTTAATTCTCTTTCTCTTTCCTCTCCCTAACAAAGCATCATTATTTAGTTCTCCATTCAATTTTCAGTTCTTTAAGCTGAGTCTTGACTGAAATCATCTATGTGTGTTTATAAATATATATTTACTGATACTTTCCAATTTTCTTCTTGAAATGAGAAACTTAAACAGGAGCCTAATTTTATGAGAAAGTAAGCTTCTAGACCAACTATGAAAATTACTTAAAGCATAGGATTAACTGAGATAGCAGAAAAATATAGCAGGGGAAAAATATACTATCAGTCACATCTAACAGATTTAGGGTTTTTTGGTGAATCATATTCAATGGCTTCTAAAAGTGATTCTCAAACTTCTTCTTAAGAAGAACTATGTTATTAAAACAAGATCCCTAAATCAGTCATTCATTTCCCCAGGCCTTTTGAGCCTTGATGTGCTACATTAATATAATATAACATCTACCAAAAGGTCCCATGACAAAATATTGCTAAAGCTTGTTTCTTTTTGATTAAGAGGACAGGCACCAACCAGTGCTAGGGCTCCAGGCTACCCAAATGTTTCTAAGGATTTGACAATGTGATTGCGGGTTGCACCCAGAAAAATACATTCAGTAATTGATTCAGTACTGAAAGCTTTAACAAAAGAGTATAGCAAACATGTCAACAACCATTTGATCCACTTAAAAACTACGTGATGCCTGGTGCCAGTGGCTCAAGCCTATAAACCTAGCTTCTTAGGAGGCTGAGATATGAGGATCATGGTTCAAAGACAGCCTGGGTAGGAAAGTTCATGAGACTCTTATCTCCAATTAACCACCAGAAAACCAGAAGTGGCACTGTGGTAAGAGAGCTAGCCTTGAGCTGAAGAGCTGAGGGTCAGCACCCAGGCCCAGAGTTCAAGCCTCATGACCAGCAAATGAAAAAACAAAACAAAACAAAAACTACCTGACAACACAAGGAAAAGTTGATATGTTAAGGTTTTATTCTATCTCTATTCTTAACTCTAATTTTACCTAGCAATCACATATCCAATAATTTAATGTGTACATGTGTACAGATTTTAACATTGGGCATTGTGTGTCTTTTAAGTTCCAGATGTGGTGCAGCATGTTCAGTGTACGGCAAGTAACTGGCAATCAATTTTAGTGAAGTGGGATCCACCCAAAAAAGCCAATGGAATAATCACACACTATACAATAACTCTTGAAAGGAATGCTACAAAGGTCTCTCCCCAAGATCACATGCATACTTTCTTAAAACTTCTGGCTAATACCTCATATGTCTTCAAAGTAAGAGCTTCAACCTCAGCTGGTGAAGGTAATGAGAGTGCATGCAACGTCAGCACACTTCCTGAAACAGGTAACTAAGGGGGACAGCTAACCTGTGCCAAATTTCTAACTAGCGTGAAATGTTTAATGCTTTGTAACCTGGGTCATACACTGTCAATGCAAGCTATTTATAACCTTCTTGTTTTACATCTCTTTCTCTTTCTTTCTCTCTTATCTATCTATCTATCTATCTACCTATCTATGCATGTATCTATGTTATGTATGTATGTATATATCTATCTATCTATCCATCCTTTTATTTTGCCAGTCCTGGGACTTGAACTCTGTGCCTGAGTGCTGTCCCTGAACCTCTTTGTGTTCAAGGCTAGACTCTGCCTCTTGAGCACAGCACCACATCAGCTTTCTCTGGATGGTTTACTGGAGATAAGAGTGTCACAGACTTTTGTGCCCCTGCTGTCTTTGAACCATGATACTCAGATCCCAGCCTTAGCTGGGATTACAGGGATGAGCCATGGGCATATGTTGGACATTTATTAAAAGATGGAAAATGTGTATTAAAATGCACAGTAGATGCTTCTTCAGTCCTCAGTTGTCCATGACTACCAGCTGTATAGTGCATAATTTTGGGGGGTTGCAAGGGAAAAAAAGGAGAAATATGTGTTAATGTGTTTCTACAAAATCTGAATTATCATTTATTGAAGTATATTTTATCACAGTTGAAAGGAAGGAAAGTACAAATAAGCTTTGCAGTATAAAATTCTTTTTCTTGCTTATTTTCATGGTATTTCCAATGCTTCCCTGGTTTTTTTGCCTGTAGTGTCAGATTCATTCAAATCTGTTTTCTTTTCTTATACTCCCCATTTCTTTCAAATTATTTGAGTAAAACTAACAAGCCACCAAGCTCTAAATTACAAAACGAGCTTCTGTTCTCCCTAACAGTGCTTGTTAGAAACCTCCTACTTTCTCCTATATTTTGCCAGCTCATGAACACTAAAACTTGATTGTTTCCTGATAAACATACATCTGTGGTTGTTGGATCTAATGGGAAGTAAACTAGCAGTCACTTCTGATCAGCTGATTTAGATGTTAATGAATAATATTCAGTGACTTCTAAAAGAAGTCTCTAAGCTTATTCCAAAGAATTCCAATATAAAACATGCTACTAGAGTAGGCATGGTTGGCTCATACCTATACCTCCTAGTTCCTCAGGAAGCTGAGTTCTGAGGATTGTGGTTCAAAGCCAGTCTGGGTAGGAAAGTCCAGGACACTCTTATTTCCAATTAAACAGTGAAAAAGCCACAAGGGAATCTCAAGTGGTAGAGTACTACCTTGAGCAATAAAGCTTAAGAACAGGACCCAGAGTTCAAGTCCCATGACCAGCACAAAAAAAAAACAAAACACAAAACAAAAACAGGCTACTGGATGATTATTTGCTCCTGGCATATCCAAAGCCTTTATCTTGGAAACATATTTTAACCTTACCTTGCTATCCCCATACTGCCCCAACCTACCCCAGTCTTCAGAAATCTGCTTCTCCAAATTTTCCTCCCGTTACTGGTTTTTGTTTGTTGGTTTTTCTGGATTGCAAATCTAGACCTTTCAAGCACACTTTGCCCTTTCTCTGGTTTCAGATCTAGCTCAAGAGACCTTCCCTCTTTTCTTCTCTCTTTCCAATGCAGTGTTCTTTGCAGCCTTCAGGAATGACAGACAGCATTTCCGCATCATCTCCTGCTTGTTAGGTCTCTCAAACTGTGTCATCACTCAGGAAGATTCCAAAGAGCCAGCTCTGCTTTGTCCAGTCTGCTGCCTGCTCAATATTGTTAGGACAAAACACCAGAAACAGCTCTATCTCATTTAGCTATAAACTCATGTTTTGTATCTGTGCCAGCTACTTATCACCTTTTATGCAGCTCTTGTTAAAGCATTGCCCATCTTCTGTGGAAAAAAATAATTTACTCCCCTTCTGAAGACAGTCTGCCTTCTCTCTCATCCATACTTAAGGTTACTAATATATTGATTTGTCCTCCTTTCCATCAAATTTTTCCTTATCTTTTTCATACACTCTAGATATATCCCCCTCTCAGAATGTCCTTGTTTTTTGTCTTTTAAGGATGTGACTTCTCATTTTAATTCAATTACATATCTCTTCTAGAACAATACTCAGTCCAATTATTCTGTCTCTTGCATTGTATTCTCTTTCAATTTCTCTGTCTCTTTCACATGTATGCACAGTTGGAAAACTTAAGCTGGGAACCTGTTTTCTGTAAGGTTTTTCCCTATCTCTCCTACATGAAATCAGACCTTATCAATTCACTTCTTGTTATGGCTCTTGGTTTGGACCTTCTTTGTAATCTTGACTGCCACCATCCCCTGCTAGACTCCTGTTATCTCCCATGGTAGTCTTCAGTGTTTCTATACTCTGTATGCTTAATAATCCAGCCTGCCTATCAGTCTCATCTTTCCACTGGCTCACCAACCAACTGAATTGATTACAACATATAATTTACAGCACTGTTGAATTCTATTAGCTGAAACTAATATCTGAAATTCAAAAGTGATCATGAAAAGTAGAATATGTATGAAGCTACCTACAGTTTTCCTTGTGTTTTACTTAGTCTCATTGTCCACAACATATATTCTAGAATTTATCACTAGTTAAAATTTGTCCAGTGGATTTCATTTTTCATCTTAGAAAACATTAAACACCCATTATTGAATAGGCATTGACTAGATTCTTGTCCTTAAAGTTACCTAGCACATTTTCACCACTAAATTGCCTCTTTTAATTGTATTCTTCTCACATTCTGTGTCACAGAAAATTTTATTCATTCTTCAAAGCCCTCCAATGCGAGGCCTTAATTAAACCTTCAGTGGCATTCTATGCTTTAACAGAGATTCTTAGATTTCATTCTAGGCTTTCTGAGTAATAACCTTGAGTAATAAGGTCCCTGACTCATGTGTCTAAGTATGTCTTTAGGTGTTTCTGATAACTCTATATGTTTGGGGAATACTGAGGAAGATCACCCAGATACACTGAGGACTGGCAAATAATATCAGACAGGCTTACCAAGGGATGACAGGTGTTTTAGCAGTAAGAGGGCAGCAGATCATTGATACATGGAGTCAGAGAGAAGAAAAATACATTAAAATCCAGGTATGGACCCTGCACCAAGGTAGTCTAGCACCAGGGAACATGGTTTTCATGGAACCACAAAGGAGTCTTGAGTTTCAGAGGTCTGACCAAAAAAGACAGGATAATAATTCTGAAGAACGTGAGGTGTTCAGACCTCTAAAACCGGGCAGAAAGCTTATTACTGAACACACTGTTATTCCGAATGAAAGCTCAATCCAAGGAACAAAGCAGTTTCTCACCAGTACCAAGACACGTATTCATGGATGTAGAGAGCTATTTGAATTTATGGTTCTGATATATGTGTGTGTGTATACATATATAATTTATTAAATTATAAGTTTGAATTGAAACTTACTTCAAAATTAAAAGTCTACCTATATAGAATTTGAACGGATACTATATCTAAAAATAAGTCAGTTATTAGACATTTTGTACATTGTGTTCCCCATTTCTACTGAAGACCTTTGTTTCTTTTTTCTTTAAAGTATTGTAAAGGTGATATATGGAATGGTCACAGTAACATAAGAAAGGTAATGAGTACATTTGTTTTCAAACACTGTGACCCCCTTCTTCGTTTTCTGCCACTTTCCCTCCCTCAACTGCCCACACCCCAAGTTGCAAAGTTCCATTTCCAACTTAGTGTCTAGTGGATAACATTGTTGCATTAGCACATCCTTTATCCCACCCTTTCTGTGATTCTCTTTCCCTTCCCCACATCAGATAAACATACATAAGACAAGGGGTACCTGTTCCGAAATCAGAAACAGTAACCAAGGGGAATAAACCAGAGGAGAAAAAAAAGAGACAAAAGAAATAACTACAAACTGTACACTACAAATTTTTTTTAAAAAAAGAGAAACAAAAACAAAAGAACTGCAAGAAAAACCCTCTTGTTTTTACATCATGGAGATCATTTCTATTAGTATCATTTTATATGGTCCTATGCACATACCTATGGGGCTACTGTGAATTTCGGTTGTTTCTTATAGTTGGGCTTCTGATGCCCTACTTTAGAAACTCGAGACCATAATCCACGTTTCTGAAATAGGAATTGGGGAGCTTCAACAGTATATGTAGGTAACAGTAACTAAGCTGAAAATTTTGGGAGCCACTGAATTCAGCTGTGATTCTTTGCCTGTTGTGATCATGTCTTGCTTTTGCTTTGTCCACTATTTCTCCCAGAAAGCATGAGACATTTAGAGAGAGGTGAATGTTTTTAGAAGAAAGAAATGAATTATTGCCTTCATTATTTTTCATAAAGTTGCTCTTCAATTACTACATACCATTTTCACACTTCTGTCAGGCAAAATGAAAAATATTTTCTCACAGGCCAATGTAAAAATTCTTTTATTAAGGAGAGTCATTCATAAGAAACATTAAGTATTGATTTCTGTTTTAAAATTTTTCATCATTAAAATTGTTTTAAATACAGAATATAATTATATTTGTGAACATGTTACTTAGTAGATGCATAATTTACTTTTTTTACATGAAAGTTTGTTGATGAGAGGATTCATTGTTCAGAATGGAATCAGTTTTAAGGCTGTTGCAAACATTAATTTATGGAGGTCTAAGATTAGTCACAGTGTATAGCCTTCTGAGTCACTGACTCTGTACTTATTTCTGACATAAAGGGAAGTCAGATTTGGCTCACTCGTGCACTGCCTGCTGTTTGACCTTAACATTCCTTTCAGGGATTATTGGGTGTGTTTTTCAGGGTAAAATTGGTCAAATGTGGACAGAGCTAAACATGCAACATGACTGAATTTATAGGGAGATTAGTGTTTGGTGTTTAAACTGGTTCCATATTGGAATAGGGCAGTAAAGATGAAGGGCCTCAAAGTTTGCACTTTTAACAGCATTCTATGTCAAAATATATATATAATTATATTCGAAAACAAAGTGGCAAGTCTGTGTGCATACAAGACTTAGCTCTT